GGTGGGAGAGTTAGCAGCGCGCTGTATACTTACCTCGGCCTTGTGAGCGTCAGCCTGGGATGTTTCCAGCGCGGTTCTCCGCGCTCTCAGCTGGGTCTGCTTTGCCATCAGGTCCCGGATCTGCTTCTCCACGGCCTCCAGCTCGACCTGCACCGACTGCATCTCGAACGTGTCCTCACCTGCACTCAAAGGTAGACACACATCCGCCATTAAAGCAAGTAACAGTGAGTAAAACAATGGAAATGTGTGTGAATAGAGTATTAGTGTAAGCGAGATTAGCGGCAACCACGCTGGCGATGCTAGCGGGCTATATGCTAATAGCGGACTCGGAAGTCAAAAATAGAACTAGTGCTAACAAAGCGCTCTGATTGTTTTTGTTGTAGAATACGATAGGGGATATATTCACACGTTATAAAACTGAAAAAGGATGGTGTATAAAATTGATTTTAAGATAAAAATTAGACGACAAAGAATTAACTTGACGGAGCTCAAACTCAAACTCAAACCACAGTGTCACAGCAAAGGGTCTGAATACTTAGGACCATGTGATATTTCAGTTTTTCTTTTTTAATAAATCTGCAAAAATGTCAACAATTCTGTGTTTTTCTGTCAATATGGGGTGTTGTGTGTACATTAATGAGGGGAAAAAAAATTAACTTAAATGATTTTAGCAAATGGCTGCAATATAACAAAGAGTGAAAAATTTAAGGGGGTCTGAATACTTTCCGTACCCACTGTATATATATATATATATATATATATATATATATATATATATAGTATAATAGAGATGGTCTCAAAGCAGCTTCACAAAAATAAACTGGAAAATAGGGCTGCAACAACTAATGGATAAAAATGTATAATAATCGATAATGAATGTCATTATCGATTAGATCTGCCCACCGCGCACGGAAAACTTCTGTCAGTCACATCAAATGACAGCATTTCTAGTATGGGCGAAATGCATCTAAAAATAGCAGATGAAACCAAGTGAGCTGCTGCGGAAAAGATGCGTGATCCAAGCTGCCCGAAACATAAGAATGCTTTAATTTAAACTTAAAGCTAATGCATTAGCGTAATGTTTAACACGGTTTGTCCTGTCTGGCGCTTTGACAGATGCAGCATGTGCTGTTTAATGTGTGAGATATGTTTTCTCAGTGCATAAACTGCATTTTACAGTAATATCATAGATTGTAAAAATCTTTGCTGTAAATGTTAAATATTCACGTGAATGTTTCTTTTGCATGAAGGCTCTTCCTGACAGTCTGCGTTAAACTTCAGTCTTCACTGAATGAGCGTAACTGATGATAATAACTGTAAAGGGATAACAGAGTGTGATTGAATTTTGTATGACGTTTCTTACATTAACAGAATAAAGAAATGACAGTAACAGGTTACGGTTTTCAGAGTGAATGTGTGTGTTCCTGCAGAACATTCCTCTTATCTGTTAACACTGAGTTTGTGTTTTTCTTTATTATCGTCATCATTATTATTTCAATAATGATTCATTATTATTCCAATCATTGGCGATGATTGGTGCCGATGATGATGGCGGCCTCCGTGGCGTGCTCTGCAGTTGTTTTTGTGTTTTTGTTAGTTTGTCCTGTCTTTAGTTATATCCCTGCAATCAGTTTCACCAGAGACTAATTGCTGGACATTCTGCACTACACACCACCTGATATTTCACCGGTTTTCGACTATTCTGATGTTTAAAGTAAGCCGTACCGTGCCGTACCATGCAGTGGAAAAGCGCCATCAGGTTCCTGGGCACCACTATCTCCTAGGACCAGAAGTGGGACATTCACATTGACTCCATTGTGAAAAAGGCCCAGCAGAGGTTGTACTTCCTTCGCCAGCTGAGGAAGTTTAACCTGCCACAGGAGCTGCTGAAACAATTCTACTCTGCTATCATTGAATCCGTCCTCTGCACTTCTATAACTGTCTGGTTCAGTTCAGCTACCAAATCTGACCTCAGAAGACTACAGAGGGTAGTCCGAACTGCTGAGCGAATCATTGGTACAACCCTCCCTTCTCTCCAAGAACAGTACTCATCCAGAGTGAGCAAAAGGGCTAGCAAAATCACTCTGGACCCCTCACATCCAGCACACTCCCTCTTTGAACTGTTGCCGTCTGGTCGACGCTACAGAGCTCTGAGCACCAGAACGACCAGACACAGGAACAGTTTCTTCCCTCAGGCAATCCATCTCATGAACACTTGACAATAACTGTGGAACACACAACACTATTTATACACTCATACACTTATTTATTTAACACGCATACTTAGTCTACACTTCAAATTTGCACATAATATACCTGTACATACAAAAACTGTCTATTGTAATATACCTGCACATACAATTGTTAATTTATATATTGTTATTCCTTGTTCTATTTTTTTTTTAAATTCTTTTATTATCTGTGTTTTTTGTTCTGTCACTGTCATTCTGTTGCACTGCGGAAGCTTCTGTCCCGAAAACAAATTCCTCGAATGTGAAAACATACCTGGCAATAAAGCTCATTCTGATTCTGATTTCCATTTTTAATATAGGGAATTAAACTGTCATTTGTTCATTTATCTGTTTAAACTGTCCATTTAAACTGTGCTTTATAACTCTTTTACACATAATGTATAGAATAGAGATATATTCACCATACAGTCTGTTTTCATAGCATTCAGTTGGCACGTTTGTTTGAAGGACAGCATTGGGCAGGATGTGGAATAGTGTGTTTTGTCAATTAAAAAAAAGAGGCTTTTTATCCGATTAATCGAAGGTAAAACAATAATCGTCCTACTAATCGATTATCAAAATAATCGTTAGTTGCAGCCCTACAGGAAAATAACAGTATTAAAGGGGTCCTATTATGCTTTTTCACTTTTTCAACTTTAGTTAGTCTGTAATGTTGCTGTTTGAGCATAAAAAAGATCTGCAAAGTTACAAAGTTCAAACTCCACTTCAAAAGGAGATATTTTATTTAACAGAAATCACTTTTCAAAAACTACAACGAACGACTCGTTTGGACTACAACGCATATTTTCCGGGATTTGTGATATCACAAATATCGACAAATGAGACGAGACCTGGTTGAGCTGCACTAGAGAAGATAACGAGTGTTATCATCACTATGTCGGAGACGCGCTAGCTTTCCTAAGGCAGACAAACTTAGAGTGGTTACAATCATCCGGGTATAAATCGCGCTCAAATTGATTTGATTTTGACGCAATATTTACACTGAAGCTCACAGGCGGCTATGGTAAGAGCATGACATTTCCCGACCAGGCGCCGAGTGCTGCCAATCACAACACACACTGGCCCAGCTAACCAATCACAGCACACACTGGCCCAG